ATGTATAATCATTCCTATATTTCATTTCAGATTAAATAAATATAAATTTGAAATACAATTAATTATATATATATATATATATGTGTAATGTATAAGTATTCCTATATTTGATTTCAGATTAAATAAATATAAATTTGAAATAGAATTTATTACAATTTCTTTTTTGATAATAATAAGTCAATAAAAAGAGCAAAATTTTTATTCTTATTATTTATAGGGAATAAAAAAAAATATGTGAAAAATCTCAATTAATGATTAAATCATCATTCATACTTTAAATTCCAAAAGAATTTTGTAATAGTATTAATTTTAAGAAAATGAAAAGAGAAAAAAATAAAAAAACTCATGTTATCCGATCCGATCCGATCCGATCCGATCCGATCCGGAACATCTGGTATAGCGTGAAAATGATAGATATTATTAGTATTATTATGAAAAATTCATCCTTTCATAATTTTTTTTTTTTTTTTTGCGATAATTTCTTTACCAATAAATAATTCATTTATTATATATCATCTCTCATTTTTCCATCTTTTTCGTTCCAGTTGTTTGAATAATATAATCCGTTAAATTTAATGTTCGAAATAGAAAATGATGTATTTCAAATATTTCTGAAAATCTAACAGTGAAATCAACCAAACTATCTGTGATTTGTTGAAAAGGAAGAAAAAGAAAAATGAAACATTTTTATGAAGTTGTGAAAGAATTAAAATGAAATTAAATTACCTTTATCATATTATGATGATAAATGAATCCCAATGATATCACTTCACATTATTTCAAATCATTTGTTTATTTATTGATTTCAAAATTCATAATGAATAGTAAATTTAAATTGAAATTATTTTAATTATGATTGGTAGAATTCATTGTTTCTTCATTTTCTTCATTGTAGAAATTGAGAAGAAGTTAATATGAATTGATGAATCAATACATTCTATATTATAAATATCAAACATATTTTTCTAACAAAAAAAAGAATGCTATTATTATTTTATTACACTGATAAATGATAACATTTTTAATACTAAACATAATACTAAAATTAAAAATTAACATTTAACAAATATATATTTTTTGTAAAATTTTTTTGAAATTATGAAATTTGAAATTTTAGGAAATTTTTAAATTTTATATCAATTAGTTGAATAAAATGAAATGATAAAGAAAGGAAGGGAATTGCATGTTTTATAATATATCAGCCAGCCAAATCATATTTCTTACACAGAGGAGAATAATTATTTTTGCAGATAATATTACCGAATATCCCGTACTGCATTAATTTCTTGTTCTCAAATAGGGTGGTGGATAACCAAAATACATCGCATAGGTATTTGGATATACCCTACAAAATTAAGAGAAAAAGGAAAATGATAATTTAATTTAAATAAGTGTTAATTTTAAAATTGAGTTATCATAGAAGATAATACTAAAATATGAAAAAAAAAGAATTATAATTTAATATCAGCAAATCTAATCTAATTTTAAAATTGAAACTAATAATAAAGGCTATATACTATTACAGTTGAATACCCTTCTCATATCGATCGCTTTCTCATTCAATTTGAAATATTTTACTGATTTACGAAGAACTTACAATTTGTGCTGTTTATTTCTGATATCATAGGAATCGGTAACAAGTGAACCTGATGCTCCTTGTCCATCTGTATTTGCTGGCTCATTTACAATGCTACAAAAAAATAAGTGAATGATAATTTTTAAAATGAATTAATTAAAGAAAATAGCTAAAGTTAAAAATTGATTAATTTTAATCAAAGCAATTTAAAAAAATTAAAAATTACTATTTCGGATAAGGATGTTTCTTTTTATAGAGTGTAGATGCTGCAGATCCCATTACAATAAGCGGTATGGTACATAGAATACTGATAACCATTGATGCCCAAACGCCATTCTAAAATTTAATTTTTAATTAATCGATTAATTTCTTTTTTTCTTTTTTATTTTGGAAAAAAGAAAATAGAGCAAATTATACGCATACTACTATCATATCATTAAAAATGATGATAAGCATACTATTATGCTCATAAAATGATAATACTATGCTTATCATCAATTGATTATGTTGAAAAATTTATTACCGCAATGAGAATACACAATGGGATGAATGGGATTAATAAAATTTAAACCAAATAATTTAAATCATTAATAATGGAATGAGATATTTTGGTTGACTAACATTATCCGTATACGATGTGTCATTATCTTCAGCATAGACTAGACTTGATTCATTATTTTAGATGTAGCCTAGTTGGATAATACTAATGCATTAGATATCACTTAATATAGGCCTCATCAAAAACAGAAGGCCCATAATGCTAGTCGTTGATTTTAATGCCTACCAAATTGTAAATGATAATAAAAAAAAATAAAACGAAAATCCTTTCATTATCAGATTAAAAAACGAAGCATTACAGATCATTATCAATGATTTAAAATTTTGTAAATGATAACAATTTATCAAATTGATAAAATTTTCAAACAATAAAAAAAAGAAGTTAAAAAAATAAAAACTAACAAATGGATCAACAAAAGCTTGACATAATGCAATACGTGTTCGTTTAGCAATATTAAATAATGGAATACAGCTTGATACATTCGTTAACATCTGTAATTTATATTATCATCTTGTATAGTTAGATAAATATGATTAAACTTATCAATCTTATCTATCAAATAATTAACAATTGAAATTTTTCAAAATTCTACTATTGAATTAACCAAAGTTTGCTTGATACATTCGTTAACATCTGTAATTTATATTATCATTTTTGCATAATTGGATAAATATGATTAAACTTATCAGTCAAATAATTAAAAATTGAAAAATTTCAAAATACATTTGTTAACATCTGCAATTTTTATTATCATTTTTGGTTGGATAAATTTGGATAAAGTTGGATAAATATGATTAAACTTATCAGTCTTATCAACCAAATAATTATCAATTGAAAAATTTCAAAATTCTACTATTTAAATTGAACCCAATTTTTTCAAAATGTTTCACTTTAAATTCATTCCTCTTTTTTTAATTACTTTCTGGCTTATTAAAACAAACTTGATAATATCAGGTGTTTTTTTAATTTAAATGAAAATTAAATTTTCAAATATTTACATTTAAACATGACAAGAAATATTTTCAAATAAAATTCTTGCTGAAAACTTCTACAGCTTATTATGAATTTAATTTATGTGGAAGAGCTATTACCATCAATTAAACAAACCTAAATTGCATCTTATTATAGGCCAATTGATTATAGGCTTATAACAGCGATTCTAATATCAATTATTCGAATCCTCAAGAGTCGATTCATCAGAGATATGAAATTATAATTGGGATCTTATTCCCAGCTATCTTTTTAATTTTCACCCACATCATAATAATACTTTTATACGGCATTGATTAAATTAAAAAATGAAAATTAAATCTAACAATGAAAATATTATATATATTGATCTTATTATTATAAATATTTTTGTAGAAGAAAAAAATATTTTTTCCGCAAATTTTATACAAATATCATTTGTTGCATTAATTTTTCATATCGCTACTTTTTTTTCAATTTTAAATTCCTATAAATCTTTTTAATTAGCTGTCAAATAGCAATTCAATTACATCATATTTCCCTTAATAATATAAAATGTAATGCATCATCCATTTAGCAAATTAAATTTTTAATTCCTTGTTACCAACTTTATCATCGAATGATTTTATATTTTTAATTTCTTGTTACCAACTTTATCATCGAATGATTTTATATTCTTAATTTCTTGTTACCAACTTGATCATCAAATGATTTTATATTTTTAATTTCTTATTACCAACTTTATCATCGAATGATTTTATAAAGTTGAATAATTTGATCACATATAATTATGATGTAAATATATCATTATGGAAAAAATAAAGAGGAAAAAATTTAACATTAAACAATAGTGTTAGTTAACATTTAAATTTTATACTTTTAAATGTTAATAAAATTTTCGTTGCTATCATTATCTTTTCTTTAAAAAAAAAGATTTTTAACCTGTATGCGAACATGTTCGATATATTTTCCAATTTGTTGTTCCATTTCTTGCACCAATTGATCAGCAGCTGCTCGAAAATATTCATTCAAATTTGATGATAGTAATGCTTGTGCATGTTGTAATTTAGCTGATAATGCTACATTTGGTAATGCGATCCGTTCTAATCGATCGTTTAATTCAGTAAGCATTTTTAATGCATTAGCAAGATTTAACAATACCGGATTTACATTTTTTATCTAAATGAATTTATTAATGAATTTACTTGAAATAATTTAAAACATATCAAAATGATACAAATGTGAAATTAATTGTTTCAAAAGAATTTCAAATATTTTAATTGATAGATATATGGATTAAATCATTTGAAATAATTTTAAACATTATATGAAATTTTTGTGAAATATTAAATTTGAGTAAATTTTGAAAGATTAGGATAAATAGTGAAGAAGTAAATAAGGAAAGTAAAAATAAGGTTTGATTGTTTGTTAGTTTGTTTGTTAGTTTGTTTACTTTTTTTTTCTTAACAGTTAAATAAGAAAATTAGAAAATAGATTAACCTGAAGTATTCGCCATTGTTCAGCAATTATTTGAACGGATCGTGGAAGATTTTCAACAGCATAATCATCTTCAATCAAACTTATCAATCGAGGAATTTTTTCGAGCTGTTCTACATTATCGTTGATCTGAATATATTTTTTTATAACTCTTAAAAATTTGATAAATAAAATGAATAAAATTCAATGATAGAAAATTTCAATGATAAAATAAAATTCAATGATAAAATAAAATCAATGATAGATCTTTTTTGTAAAAAAGAAAAAAATGAAGTTTAAAATTATAGATGTAAAATAATTTAAAAAAAAAGAACCTGAAGGAGAATTAGCGGAATATTCGATTCAATGGTAATATTAACAATTTGTTGTAACATTGTAAGTTGTTCGGGTGAAGCAAATGTTGCAATTGATTTAGATAAACTGATATCCGAAAAAGCATCTTGAATGTTTAATTCTAAATGATCGTACAATTCCTTACCATATTGTCGTAAATCATATAAATGGTACTTGCTATCCATGGCAAATATATTATATAATGTTTCGTTACGCATACATGATCGTATTACATTAGCTAATGATAATTGATTCATTAGTGGTGATAAGTCTTCTTCTATCTGTTTACTACGCCATGCATCAAGCATACGTTCACTAAGCTGCAAACTACAAAATGTTAATATTGTATTCCAAAAATTCGAAAGATTAAAATGATAAGAATATTTTATAAATTTCATTATGATTATTTAATTAGATAAATCTAACAATTTACCTTTTTTTTTTCGGTGTTTTATTGATGACTTTAAAACAAAAAAAAGTACAATCTCCTATAAATGTTTAGAAAGTTAATAACATGCTAGAGATTATAAAAGAGCCTACCGAAAGCATATCTGGCCTTGCAAATGGATCATCCAATGGCCAACATCCAAGTGAATAAGCATTAACACCAATTAATAGCAATGAAGCTGTTAATGCAGCTATCAGTGGTAAAAGTATTATCGCTAACCAAATTCCACTATAAATTCTTTTTTACTTAATTATAAATTTAATAATTTTGTATAACAAATATTTTAAGAAAGGAAAAGAAAGAGTAAATTTATCTTTCAGTTTTTTTTAATCAAAAAAGATAATTTAGGATAAAATAATAATTGCTTGAATTAATTACCAAAAGATTACAGTATATTACAGTATACTTATATTACTGTACAATATCTAAGTATATTACTGTATATTTAAATCCTATTAAAGCTAATATCAATCAGAAATTGGTGGAATTAAAATCTTACAATTTAACTTTACAAAAATGAATCCATCTAGCCATTATGCTATATATTTGCCACAAATAACTATATCAATTACAGATAAATATGGTAAATTATATTTGTAGTTATTATTACTGTTATTTATTTATGACACATTCAATAAATATATTCAGAGATAAATTGATAATTGTTGCTAATTGCAATAAAATATGTTATTATCATATATTTTAATCTAATTATCTCTTCATTTTCAGAATAGAAAAAATTTGAAAATAGGAACAGAAAAAAGGATTAACTTACCAAACGAAAAGTTTGCTACCAGTGGATCGTACACAGCAATCACTTCGATAATCATTTGGTCGTCGTCCAAAACAACCATAACATAAAGCAAATAAGAAATAAAGCGCTTTTAATGAAAATATGGCACATAAAGTTAGGGAAGCATACCATCTGAAATTATTCTAATTTTAAAATTATGAAATAAATAATATGAATTTTTTCTAAAACGTTATCGTAAAATTTGTTGAAAATTAGTATTAAAATTAATTTCATTTAATATAATAAACCTAAATTAATATTTTTCATTATTTTTTATATTTTAAATTTTTTTTTAAAAAAAGAAAAGAAAAATTATTACGTGTACTGCACAATGCTATGATAATTATCACCCATATATTGTTTTAATATATCATGTAATAATTCAGGTTTAATTTGTCGTAACTGCGTAGATAACGTATCAGCAAGACGTAACAGATCATGTTGAATTTCTTTTATGCTTATTTGTATAGCTAAAATTATTTTAATTTATAACCAAACAATACTACTGCAGTAAATGATATCATTTGATAAATGAAAACTAAAATTAAATAATTAATTAATCAAAAATTATAATAGTAATGAATCATTGTAAAAAAAATTTTTCATTTAATAAATTATAATAAGATTCAAACCTTGTTCTTTTTCTTGTACTTTTTTGTTTAATTTAATTTCGCTATCTTTAAAATCCGATATTGCTTCAACAAATATTTCAGAAATGTTTGATTCTGCCAACATTTTCAGCGCATTCATCGTATCACTATTAAGAATATCCTGGAAAGAAAAATAAAAAGATTTAAAAAAGATGAGTAATTAATAAATAATCATTTTAATGATAAATTGACAAATTTTATTAGTCATATTTTGATTTTACCTCAAATATGAAATTATTGCTGGTATAGGATAAAAGTATATGATAGCGTATAATCTTCTGATTACTAACACTTAATGATTTATTTCATTTTCATTTTTTGAATCGTTTTAAAAATTTTTGCTAAAATTTAAATATAAAATTTCAGTTTACTTGTCGAAGATGAAGCGTAATATTATTGATATCAGAGAGATCATTTCCAATTTCCTGGCAACGCTTTTTAATAATTTGCAAATCATTATGAACGCAATCGTTTATTTCATTAATTGAAGTTCGATACAGCTTTGCTAGCTCATTTCGCAATAAAAGCAATTCACCATTTAAAGTCTTTAAATGATTTTCATCATCAACCACAAGTTTCAACAAATCCTGAGCTTCTAAAAAAAAAAAAGAGAGAACAAAGGTCAGGTTGGAAACAATAATCCTGTTAAACTGAACATAAAGATCGAATTGTTGATGCTTATCCAAAAATAATGAATATATCCAGTAGTATTGCGATATCATTATTTTTTAGCATAAATTTAATTCATGCAATAGCAAATTTTATAATTAAAAATAATCAAAAAATAATTTGAAATTTGATAAGAAGAAAACAAGTGCAGAAATATTTCAGGAAATGAAAGGTAACTTGTTGAAATTGCACAATTACTCGATATTATTAATTTAAAATACAGTTCTTTATCCTTAATTCTTGAGTGGTATAGCTCCCGGGTATCACTCAAATAATTCGTTCTGTGTAAAAATTTTAATATTCTTCATGAAATTTTATGTAGGAAAAGATGAAGATACTCACACTATTAGTTGCAGAATGTTTAGCGATATTCCATTTATTTTTTGATTATAAGGATTCAATTCATATGAAGTTACGCATGTATCTTTGAAGGTAAATGGATGGAAACTAATCTGATGATTGATAGTTGGGCCTTCTAACCATCTTTTGCATGATATCAATATACCTTTGGAGGTCTTATGTCTCTTATTAAAATCCCGAGATTCATTTAGGAACAAAATGCTTTTGCATCATGCAACGTCGTTAAAGATGTTAGCATGTGAAAGCTTATGCAATGTATTTTTTTATTTTTATACTATTTTGCAAAATTTCAACTTCTTTTCCAAATTACTAAATTAGTAAATTTAAATTAACCACTGATAAATAATTAGTAAAATGATATTACGATTTTTTTTTTTGCAACAAAAATTTCATCAAAATTTCAACTAACCATTCGAAATATTAAGAAACGAATCCATCGCATGTGCACCAGTAATTTTTTTGACACGTTGCACAATCGGTTCACCGCCTGAGGCAATTAGAGCAGATAATGATTCATTTAATTTTTGAAAATCATCAATTAGTGTATTTCGAATTTTCTGAAATAAACTTTCATATTTCTATAAATTTCTATAGATTCCTTAATGAATTAAGTATTTTACATGTTGTTCGACGAGATATTGTAAAGAGAAGAAATACATTATTGCTAATTTTTAATCTTTAAAAAAAGAACTAACAAATTTGTTAAACAATTTTCAATTTTATCATAATGATGTAATTATATATTTTTAATAATATTCACTGATTAAATTTACAAGAGCTATTAGAGCATATCTGGTAATAACATATAGAAATGAATATAAGATTAACATTTTGAAGGAATGATATCTAGGTAAATTAATTAAATTAAAATATATTATAATACATATCACTCATGAAATCATTTGTCTCAAATCTATTCCGCCTTATTAAAATATTAACAAAACTTAATTATATATTTCTAAAAAGAAAAAAAAACATACCTGATCCGTTTCCTTCTTATAATATGAGAGATCATCAATACAATGACTGAGACGTCGAGGTAGTTCATCCGCTCCATATTCCGCATATTGACTGCTTATAAGCAATGAAGATACCGCAAAACTGAATATTCAACGACATTATAAAATATTACACAGTTACCGTGGAATATTAAGCTATAATAATTAGTTCAAAATTTTCAAATTAATTGAAATTATAACTTACTACCACTTTTCGTCTAACAATTGTTGACAACGAAGAATTATATTTTAGTTCACATTCAAATACGTTGCTCATAGCATATCAACTATTAGCAGTAGGATATTAACTATTTAGTATCCGTAGATGATTTAATCAACTAAAGCATTTAAATGATTTGTCTGAGTAAAATAGAAGTAGTAGAAAAAAACGTAGAATTCATAATTTTCATAATAACTATATTTAAAATCATTACTTTTGCAGATGTGGAAATGAAAAACTCTTTTTGAAAATTTAAATTATTAGTTTATAAATTTATTAAAAAAATGAACTTTGCAAGAAGTTAATTTGATCACTTACACATCAATGAGGACGAATACGGTAATAAAGATATTGAGCAAATGACGTTTACAGTAATCACGTTTTCGATCTGTTGTTTTCGTTTTGCTTGGTGCAATACAACATTTTACCATACTATAGAATATATACAATAGAGAGAATAAGACAGTGGTGATAACAATTAACGTTCCCAATACAATCCACCAAGATTCATAATCGAGCCACTACAAATATTTATCAATTACAATAATGACAATGAACGAACAGGAACAATTATAATTCGTGATTTACAAATTGATAAAATATATATTAGTATTTCAGTTTTCTTATCATCACTAATTATCAATGATATCATTATAACATTGTTACAATTACATAATGCCATAATTTGTGACCTTCTGTGGAATATTTTTTGTCTTTCAATCCAATGCTGCTTCAATTTGAATTTATTTCTGCACATGAAATTTTTCCTGTCCTGAAGTTACTTACCTTCAATCCTAATCTGCTCCTATATCAATCTCAGTACTTTTAACTGAAACTGTCAAGTTTAAAATTTCTCAGCTAACATACTGAAACAAACCTGCCGATATGTTGTAGGAAATGATTGCTTAAAATCGCTCCAATTACCTGTCAGCGCATTTCGACTGATAAGAGCTGTAATCAGAAAAACTATCAAGTAGTCATTAAAAAATGGTGTTAAAAAAAATAAAAGGAATTATTTTAATGCGGGATGTTTTGATCCCAAATAAGAAAGTGAAAATTGATACAAAATATGACCTATAACCTAATTGTTAGAATTTGATATTGAATATGGCTAATTTGATCATAAATGATATAAATAGCCGATGACAAAGTACTGATAAGATATATGTATATATGATTTACATTGATATAGTTTTAAAAAGTTACCCTGATGTGGAAATGGTTTGGAAAATAAGCGGATGAATTTTTTAATCAATGAATAAAAATAAACAGTTACAGGATCATTCTGTTCCTCTACTAACAAATTATTGCACTGATATCCGTCACTATCATCCGGAATATTTGTCATTAATTTTTCCATCAGTAATAAACCATCACATTCATTATTACCTCCAATTTATCTCTGAAAAAAAATGATTGATAAGAAATTTGAAAAAATAAGAAGAATATGTGGCAAAATTATTTTATCGTCGAAATTACTGCAATTTTTCTCATATTTAATGCAAAATAATATATGATAAGATTTTAATTACTATAATCAAATAATCAATGAATTTATTTGAAACAATAAATTGTATTGGAAATTATCGGAATTGATGTAACTTATAAAATTATCATGCATTTCACGTAAAAACATATCAAATTACATATATTTGCAAGTAATAAAATGATAAGTTACAGGTGAGAAATGGGAAGGTATAATTAATAAAATGATAAGTTATAAGGAAAATAAAATGATAAGTTATAAAAGGTATAATTAATAAAATGACAAGTTACAGGTGTGAAATGGAAAGGTATAATTAAGAAAGATTTAATACAGAGTAAGGAATTTTGAACATTTTAACAATTATCAACAATAGATTTTAAATGAAACTATTGATGAGTGATATACAATTATTCAATATCATACAAAATTAAAAAGAAAAGCTTTTCAAATGTGACAGATGTAGGAAAAGGAAATGATTAAGGTGTGTGTTTATGCATATGTATGTGTATATAATATGTATGTGTTCAATTTACCTTGGCCAACCTTTGGCAACTAACCTGTAATGCCTTATTATTAGACTTGATAATAAAGATAACAATCTATTCAATAGGCTCTCAAATCCTAAGTACGATTAAAATCATATTGAATCAACCGGTCATAATCCATTCTTTGTAAAAATGACCCAATAGAGAGAGGAATGAAATCGGAGTGAAGAGAAGGGAAAATGAGGTTGATTGAAATTGGGTTAACATACAATGGCAGCAAATCAACAACATTGAAGTACTCCCAAATGTCCTCATACTTCATGGCCATTTCATTTCATTCCTTCTCATCATTCTCTCTTCATTTTAAATTTTATTTTGTTTGTTTTCTTTTAATTAAAAATCTTAAATTAACTCAACGATAATTGAAATCATTCTTACCTGTTCAAAGTTTTTCTCAAAAAGTTCTCTTTAAAAGTTTGCTAATAAAAATTCCCCTTTTGTTTTTTCTTTCTTTCTTTCTTTTCATTCGCCGAAAATTTGCAATACTTTTTTGGATGATAGAATAAATAAATTTTAGTTTGATAATAATTTTCCGACAAGAACTTTTATTAGCAATTTCTTTTTTTGTTGCTAATTTAATTAAAACGAAAACAAAAAAGCATTTTAAAACAATTCTAATAACAAGTTTAGGTTAATTAGAAATATTTGAAAATTTCATCATTTCATTCAACTGCTTGGATCAATGGTATTTCATATTTCTTAAGGTGCAAAGACAAAAGACACACACACATACACACACAATACCTGGCGCAAATTTAAAGCTAAAAGCAAATAATTAAGCTAAAAAATTTACCATATTAATGACAGAAAAAAAATTTAGTTTAACATTGCTACCAGTCATTTATATCATCATTATCATCATCATCATTATTATTATTTTAGGCTTGTTAGCATCAAAGAATAATTCGTAGTTTCTCGATTAGATAGGTAGATGATTCTAATGACAGAAAAAAAATTTTTGTTTAACATTGCTACCAGTCATTTATGTCGTCATTATAATTTTAGGCTTATTAGCATCAAAAAAATAATTCGTAGTTTTTCGATTAGACAGATAGATGATATACAGTTATTCATTTTGTAAATGCAATAAAGTGACCCATACATAGTAACCTTATAATAAAGCTTATCGCTTAATATAAATTATAATTGGCTATTGTTTCATATCCTATCTCCTTCGCTCTCTTCCGTTCACTTCTTCAAATCTTATAATAATAATGATAATAAGGTGACAGATATGCTATTAACAAAATAAATGGGCAAACATTGTCCATTTCAACTCCTTCTCCTCCTCCTCCTCCTCCTCCTTCTCTCTCCTCCTCCTCCTCCTACTCCTCCTCCTCCTCCTCCTACTCCTACTCATTCTCCTCTTATCATTGATCTATTTCAAATGTCAATTTTTATCTCTTCAATGATCTTTATAGAAATTTTGCTTAGATAGAAAATTTTTGTAATCATTTACGTAACTGAAAACCAAAACAAAAAATATATATATAATGAGGAAGATGAAGAGGAAAGGAATGGATGAGAAGAAAGGGAAATGAATCGACCGGAGGAGGATATCAACTACTGAAAAAAAAGGGAAAAACATAAGGAGGAAAAAAATTCCGTTCCGGTTTGTACCACGCTACGAAGTAGCATTTTCAACGATATAAAATCTTCCTTTTGTTTATCATATATTATTTCATGGCAACAAAACATTCAAACTAAAAACGGTAAGAATAAAAGAAATGGAATAATTAATCGGAATTAAAAAGAAATTATTATATATAATTGATTATTAGATAAATATATTACATATATAATATATAATATATAAATTAAAAAAAAATTTTAACTTATTTGATAAGCGATAATAAAAATGAAAATTAACACCTATATAGATGAAATATAAATTGATTTAATTTTTTAGTTGCTAAGAAACGGATGAATGAGAGGAGAGAAAAGATGAAGGAAAGAATGGAGAAGAAAAGAAGCAATTGGATAGAGAAGAGAAATTTTTCAAATATTTAAATGATAAGATAAAAAAGTGATAAATATTGAGGAGAATTATTGTTACATTATTAAATCATTTCGTTTAATAGAAAAATTATCAACTGATAGTATGTGTAAATTAAAACAATGAAATTAAAATTAAAATTACGATTGAAATTTCTTTTTTTGAAAGAGAAGAATAAAATGATAATGAAACTAAGCGACAAATGATTGAAATAAGTAAATGAGAGAAAGAAAGAGAGAGAGAAAGAGAGAGAATGAAAGAGAGAGAGAGAAAGAGAGAGAATTTCAAATGGATAATGTTTCGCTTGACATTGACAATTCAAGAATTGATTGATTGATTATCTATCCCAATTCTTTTGATATTCTAATATTTCATGGATTGAATGATAGCAATAGTATTCTTTTATTCCTTCTATCATTTAACTATACATATATATATAGTTAATATTTTTTACGAAGTTAAACTTCTCATATAATAAATAAAATATTTTTCTCTATTATATAAATAATTTCTTAGATAATAAAGATTACTAAAAAAAGAGAAAAAAAGTAAATTAGAATTATAAAAATATACACATTAAGGGAAGAGATAAAAAGAAAGAGAGAAGTTGAAAAAAGCAACTAAATAGTAAAACAAAATCATTCAACATTGTTGAATATTTACTTTTGTATTGTATGTAAATGAGAAGAGAAGAAGATACGATTAAATCAGTAAATAAGCGAACAAACAGATCAATGTAATAAACTTAGAAAACTGGAATTTCTGGAAGGAAAAACCGGAAATTATTTTAGGATAGATTATATTTGATAGAGCTAAAGAAAAGAGAGAGAGAGAAAAAAATAAGTAAAAAGATGGAAGAAAGAGAGTTATTCCCAATGGGAATAAAATGAACGGAAGGTAAAGGAAGGAAGGAAGGAGCAAGGCCGATAATAATTACACTCATATCCTTTCCAATAATGATCGTTGCAATTCATTTCATTCAAATTCAACAAAATTTAACTAACAACTAAATCCTCTTTTTTTCTTTTAAGGCTTCTGTAATAATGTATAATGCAACAATAATTACGATGTAATTAGTCGAATGTGAAAGATTATTTAACAATGATAATAATGATAAGGATGATAAGAAATGAATAATTGAATGGTAATATTGCTAATAAATACAATTAAAAAGATAGGAAATAATTAGCAAAAAGAATGATGCAAAGATGATCAAATATTAAGATCTGTATTACTAAATGTAACGATGTAATTGGTCGAATATGAAAGAATATCTTAAATGATAATAATGATAAGGATGATAAGAAATGAATAATTGAATGATAATATTGCTAATAAATACAATTAAAAAGATTGGAAGTGATTAGCAAAAAGAATGATGCAAAGATGATCAAATATTAAGATCTGTATTACTAAATGTAACGATGTAATTAGTCGAATATGAAAAGATTATTTAACAATGATAATAATGATAAGGATGATATGAAATGAATAATTGAATGATAATATTGCTAATAGATGCAATTAAAAAGATTGGAAATGATTAGCAAGAACAATGATGCAAGAATGATCAAATATAAAAATTTATAATTTAACAATTGTTAATTTAGTAGGAAGAAAGGATGATAAGTTGACAATGATAAGAAACATTTGATATAGAGATAATTTATCTCAGATATTTTACTAATAATAATGTTAAAAGCAGTGAAAATTAAAATCAGGGCTGTTAAATTTTGTTAACAATTAATCAAATACTGAAAATGAAACAAAAAATTTTCTTCTTATCACAATTGATACTTTTTATCACAATTACTATCTTCACTGCTATCTGCACGAATAATTTAAACAATTTTAAATATAATTATTTATGTTTGATTTGAAACATCAAATGGATTTATACAAATAATAATTGTAAGAGATGATATAACAATATAAGATACTAATAAATAATTATATTAAATATTGGTTAAATTATCCGTATAGATAACAGTGAGGATAGTAATTGTGATAAGAAGAAATATAGGCATTACCGAGTGCAACCAATGAATTGTTGAAATTATTTAATATGAAAAATTTTATTAAATGATGAATCATCCAAAATTTAATACTCCTCTTTTTGTTTTATTTTTTTCCCGTAAATTTTCGTCATCCGTTTAAATACCTGAACAATTTTTCGATCGCAAAAGAGCGATCCAGGCAGTAATACTTTTTGAATTATTTAGTTAAGCCTTTTTCAAATCCTACATTTTATTTTATAGTATCGTTAAATAGCAATGATAAAAGATTAATTAGTGAGTGATAAATTAGTAAATGAGTAATGATAAAAGATAAAC